TGAATTGGCAGACTATCTCATCAACTGGTATGATGCTACTGGTATTTATACTAGTAGATGCTGATGCATAGCCTGACAATTGACATCTCGTAGTATATCGCGATGTTAAAAATACCAGTCGCTAACATTGAAAAAGGATAGAACGTGAACTAGTTCGGCTGAAACGCAAACCAGTAGAATTCTAGTTCACAACTAGTAGCTTTCCCTGCAGGGGAATGCACAAACGTACCAACTAACTAAAATAAAATTACCTCATGTAGCCGGAGTTGATGGAGGAAGCAAGTTACATTTTTCCTCGCCATCGCGTAGCAGAGCAGAACACAAGAAGCGGTTAAACCAGTTTCGGTACGATACACTCACTTTTTTGGTGTGACTATGGGTGCACATTCATGAGTATTTTTATATATCTATGTATCTATATATTGGGGTGGTCCAAAGANGTGCAATCCGGGCTACGTGCAACCGCTTTGCAAGATTTCGAGAATACCCCTATTGTTTATATTATATGTACTACTTACTATGCATTTTTTGTATTTTTGAAAATGGGAATTTGGCAACTTTGATTCGTTTACACATCACTATTTTTTACCTATTACCGGTTTTTACACGGTTCATGTATTGAATTTAGTTCTGTTTTCTAGTGGAAGATAGGGGTTCAGATAAAAATAGTGCATGTGCATGTCTTTACTGTCAACTGGTTCCAAGTTTCTTGCTTTGCTTTTGACATTTTCGTTGTTTCCCATTTAAAGAGCAAAAACTGGAATCCAACAAAGTTTAAGCGTGTAAAAGCAGCATAGCATAGAAAAACCAAAAGAGAATTAATCAGAATTGCTTTGAAGTACTTGAATCATGTAAATCGGGAGTAATTAAATTAGAAAAAACTAGTTTGAATACTACGGTGTTAGTGATTCTGCGTCGATGGAAGAAACTATTGATATAAGCCAGGGTTAGTCAAATTTTTTAAAATTCTTGTATTTCCTTTTAATACTTTGAATGGGTAAATAATCATGTAGAAGCTGGGGTACGGTTCGGCTTTTTATACAATGATTTGGGTTCATGTAGCACACGCTTGAAATATGGACTTTTCGTAAATTTTGGAGTGAGCTCTATACAAAAATACTGTGGCGTAGCCAAGTTGAGCAGATGAAAGTTTTTTGTAATACATACAGTTTTCTTTACAATTACAAGCGATTTGTTCTTCTACGATTGGGAATTTTAGGTTTTATTTTGTCGGTTTAAAATATTTTAAAAATCGAAGAGAAAGGACAAAGTTACTGAAAATCGCTATATAACAATTAACTAATTCTTCAGGAAGTAAACAAAACTAAAAAGTTTATATAAATAGCTTCGTCAATGCATTTAAAAATTATCCGATAACTTCGATAGTATCGATAGTTTAAATGCAAACTATCGAAAACATCGAATGGGATACCTATCGATAGTTTTACAGATCCAATTCTGAGTAATTTCGTATGTATATGTCTATGTATATCTATCTCGATTCCTTTAGCTTGGTATAAACAACCGTTATGCGAACATAGTTATAATATCCTTGTGCACAAGTGCGCTCGGGTATAAAAAAGTTGTGTGTAGTATTTCGTACCTAGAGCAAGTTCAATTACAAATAATATGAACTAATTCGAAAGCATCACTTTTTCCGATTGACGTGAAATACGCCATTCGTAAATTAAATTTAGTTGTCATGCGAATTACAAGCTAATCAGTAACTTCACTCAAAATAAAGTCTAGTAAAAAACTAAAGAAAGAAGAATAAAAAACGAAAAGAATTAATATAAACAAAGTACCGATATATGAACTAAGCCTAATGCTGGCAAAAATATTTATTAGTATAAGTACAAAAAACTTTAGTCTCACATTTTTTTTAGATCAATCACAGTGCAATACAGGTTTAGGGGAAAATATTTTACAAGCTACTGGCCATTTTGAGAACTTTATATCCTACTTAAATCAATTAAAGAGCAGTTCCTGCCATACTTTATAAATAGATATGTGTTATATATTTTCTTAGGCAAATACTCGCAATAGTTTATAGTTATAAAAAGGGGAAATCCACTTACTCTGCATTTGTTTCCGGTGTAGGTAGATCTCCAATAGTAGTTAAAGTAAGAGTCGACCAATAAAGGCTTCCAAGGTACTTTCTCGTCAGGGTAGCATAGTCTCCTGGCCTATAAGGATATACCCAGTCACCCTGTATTTAAAAGAAAAACTCTTAATTGCAGAAACTTTGTGCATTAAATTGCTTAATCAACCTGAAATCCTTCAGCTTCCGACAAAAGATAGTAAAAACAGCCGAACCAGTGCGCCAATATCAAAAGAATGTGAATTAAGTTTATCACTCGCCACAAGTTTGGCCAAACAGTTCTACTTTCAACGATATAGTAAAATTTGATACATCGATATACCTGCTTAAATATAAAATATAATAATTTGTACCTTGAAATATAAAAAAATTTACCTTGAAAAATCTTGAGAAGCGCAAGAGGGGGTGTGACCCGATTTTCAGTTGTATTAAGTCCAAAGGAATCAATGAGATAATATCGAAGAAAAAATCTTTAGAATGGATATAATGCATTGCCAGTTTTTTATCATCATAAACCATCAATCCTTGCTCGAGATACCCCGTACGCAGCTGGACAACGATATCGAATATGAAGACGACATCCGTGAGCGTATCGCAAATAAACCAAAATATAGGAACAGCTTGCTGAAAATGGAATTAAAATGTGGTTTATTATATTGTAATAAATAAATCGTCATTTTTGCTTAATTATTTACTAAATTGAAATTTAGTTAAAGATTAAATAATGGGTACAAAATAATACTAATGCGAAATTTAATGAATAGAGGATATAACCTCGAATTTTGTTTATGTTTCTTAAAACAACGGGTTTCGAGATATAGGCATAAAACTCCTATTTTGGGTCCTTTCGGAGATATCGCCAGAAATCTTGACTTTACGTTTATTACATGCGGCAACTGTATTAGTAATTTTGTATCTACAGGCGTTTAAAATTAAGAAGAGTGGCAGTTTTTTTAGGGTTCTAATAGAGGAAATTTCCTCCCCCAAAGGTTTCCTAATAAGTAAAACATATAGAACCATTTCTTTCCACCGAATATTTGAATGTTATCTTTTCATCGCCTGTAATGTAGTGCGATCTTAGAGTTCGTGTTTTCCATTGTTTTTCATTTCTTAAGCTTAGTATACAGCTGTTAACCCTTTCGGTACATCTTTTTAGATTCGGGCTTTAAAAATCCAATTTTTTTATTAAATGATCCTTAATACATAATACAATAACATTCAATTAAATTTTTTTCCAAAATGCGATTCTAAAGTGTTTTTTGGAATGATGCCTTATGGCATCATTTGTACTAACTGGTGTAAAAAAAATGCAAAGATTTTTTAATATGCTATTTTATTTTATTCAACTCAAACTAAATAACACCACAAAAATAAAATTTAATAAAATAAGTTGGAACATGCATAGATTTAATAATTCATTTAAAAAATTTACCAGTTGCAATTTCCCAGTACAAATATATCGTTATTTGCTGGTGCGGATTTCAGCTCCTTCAAATATTATTGATGCCATATGGCATCATACACATTTAAAAAATACCACGCGTTTATTAGCACTTTTTAAATTAAATTACAAGTTCTAGCAATATTTGACACTATTTTGGAGACTATAGCATATTTATTTGTTTTTAATTTATTGGGTTATTTGGTAAAATATAGTATTTTAATGTAGACCTTTCTAAGCAGAAGGAAATCGATATTTTAGTAAAGTATTAAAATATAGTTTATAAAACTTCCCATTACAGCGTTGCATATAAAAATATAATTTCAGATAAACTCGATTAAATCTGTGAGTATTCAAATACGCATGACGCCATATGGCATCATTATAGCGAAGGGGTTGAGAAAAATCCGGAGATATTTTTTTCATTATCTCCATGAACGATTACAGTTTCCCCGATCGCAACGAGCACTCCAAATTATCTATGTATATTAAATACAATTGTCTCATATCAGAGAATAAACAGTATACAGAAGACGCATGTCGACTATCGAAGCAATTTGAATTTATAGCACGAGCGGTTAGGCAAGTAAGGGTATCACAAGCGGTGCTGCCTCTGTTAATTTAGCAGTATTTTCACTCGGCTGACGCTGTTAATTCCATCGTCGCTATTACGACAAGATGTTAACTAACTTCGTTTTCCATCACGATAAGCGTTGCCGTTTTGATAAAATTTTATCATTTTTGATACTTTTTGAAGTGAAATTTCTTAGGCGGCCGTTCCGCGAAAATGGAAAATGAAATTTTTAAAACTGAAAATGTTACATGAGTAAGAAGGAAGATATAGTACAGAGAAGGGAAAAAAAAAGAAAGTGGCGTATGACCAGTGTGACCACTTTGTGGGTAATTCCTCAAAACGTGACGAATTGCGGGTGCGCTTGAGTATTTTTTGAGGATTTTTATTTTGAGGAATTTTCTTTCGATATATTTGCAGACAACAAATGCAACCATGTTTTATACAACAGAGTTGTTAAATCTCTCTGTAAATTTTTGAACAAAAAGCTTTCCGAAGTTTTATAAATAGCGAAATACACCACACAAGCGGCTTCTCAAACATTCTTCAAACCGACTTTTCCCATTTCGCCATACACCATGCAAACATGACTCGTACAAGCAAAGAATTTTAATTTTCTTGCGGATCACAATGTAAAAGAATTTAGTTTTCTTCTAGTTTTCTCTCTTGCGTCCCCATTCGGTGAAAATTCCGTTGCGAATGAGGCGCTTTTACATTCACAACCTAAGCGGTTTGATCAAACGTCAACATAGCGGCCAGAAAATCAAAAAGTTTAACTTTTGTTCACATTTCCCGCAAACGGCTTGTCAAACCCCCACCCCCATACAAAACATTAATATGTAGCTTTAAGCAAAGGGATATTTCGCTTGGTTTGTCAAGCGGCTTGGGTGGTGTTTTTCGCTCTTAAGCACATCTGCATTTGCTGCTAAATATTCAAAATATTCAAAAGTTTCTCAATTAAAAAAAAAAATTATATCTGCATTACTAATATAGCCCTTTTCTAATGCTTCAGTAGAACGTATTTTTAGTAGTTTAGAAATGTGTAGGACAACTTGAGGACCAGAGTCAGCACTGATATAGTTGCAGCAATATTATATACAAAGCAAGGCATACAAAAAAATCGGTGATACTTTGTTTGAGCCGCAAGAACAAATGTACCAAATGAATTGGAGAATGTAATTGATTTTTATACTAAGTACCTGTAAATAGTATGTAGTACACAATACTCATATCTGTAATAAGAAAATTTTGAGTAATTTTTTCGGATTTTGATGATTTTTCATTTGTTTTTAAGGATTTGGTAAGCTTTTTGTGGCAACACTGGTATGACGGCTATTCAAAGCGATCGCACAAACATCTTCAGCGCGCATGCATACGAGTACCAACATGCATATGTACGTACATATATATGTATGTTTGAATGCACGAAAGTACACATATGCATATTGAAATGAAGCAAGCGTGCTTCGTGTCCCAGCAGAACCTGACCTGCAAAAATTTGAGGACCACATGGCCCAATGGGACAACGTTATAAAGTAGGTGCGAAAGGAGCAGGTTACATACTAGCGACATGTTATGCTAAACTGGACCATATCAAATCATGAGATTTAAACAATCGTTGAGCTAGAGCTCTTTCGGGAATAATCGGAAATTAGATTCGTTTGGCAGCATGGCCAGATGTAAATATTCAAAACGGAAAATTGGGTGCTAATGTTAGCTAGATTCTTATGCAACGGAGCTACAAAACAACGCATGCACAGCAGCAACACATTTCACATGTTCGTAAGGAATAGTGCTTATTTGTACGAGTGAATATTCATACGAATTCGCATTCAGTATAGCCGCACACTAACTGAAGCACATATGTATTCATTAAGGTGATTCAGAAAAAAAAATTTGTTTTTTCCTCGGAACCATGCTCAAAAGTTTCGCATCGTTGAAATTTTAACTCGAGTTTAACGTTTTTAGTTTATGAACAACTGTCAACACATTTGTCTGTTTACTTTTTCTTATTCTCATTTAGCCTGTTCCCGTACTCCAGGGTTTAGACAGAAATAGTCCGAAGTAGCCGTGGTGTAGAATACCAACAGTTTAGCCTTAAAGAAATAAAAAAAAATTTGCTAAATAGAACTTTTCATGCTGATATAAACCATACCAAGATTATTTGGTCAAAAAAAAAACTAAAGCCAATAAAAGAGGTTAAAGTTTAACTTTTATATTTTTTTATATTTAAAATATCTCGGAAATTATTTGACCGATCACAAACGTATTGATGCTAATTTAAAAATAATTTAAATACCTTTTCCGGGACGTATACAGTATAACCTTTTTGAAAACAAATTTTAAATAAACGCCATTTAAAAAAATTTATTTATATATTTTTTGGTTCGTAGGTATTTCTGGCTGAAAAATATAAAAAAAGGAAAAAAATTATGTACACCAAGTCAAGTACCCCCTAATTACCTTTATTATGACGTCATTAGTTTTTTAATAGGTTATATTGTTCAGAAAATATTATTATTTAACAAGTAATTTTTAAGCAAAAAACATAACCGACTTCAATTCTCATACGAAAAAATAATATATATATATATATTTCATGGTCTAATGATCGGATCTAAACCAGATTAGTATGGGACCACCTCTGAGACACTACCTTTCCGATGCAAAAAGAATTATCGAAATAGGTTAACGTGGTCCAAAGTTATGCGGTAACATTAAAAAAAAATTAAAAAAAATATATATTCCGACCAACTGATAACCTCCTCCTTTTTTGGAAGTAGGTTAAAAAAATCAAAAAAATTAATTATAACCATTGATATTTTCTTTATTTTTTACTTCCGCCAAATAGTTTTGGTAGGGTTGAAATCAGCACAAAAAGTTCTATCGAGCCACATTTTTGGTTTTCGCATAGCAAGACTGTTGATATTCTACACTTATGTGCAAGGAACGACCTCGGACTATTTCTGATTAAACCCTGCAGTACGGGAACAGACTAACTGTCGGAAAGTTGGTTGCAGGTTTGGATTATCAAAGACACAAACCAAATTGGGTAAAAAAAGGGTTGCATTCGCTTTAGCTCCAAATAAAAGTGGTGTTTAATGGAAAGTTAAACGAAAATTAATTGTATCAGATCACGTAAATATTTTTGTATTGACCCCTTAGCTGGGATAAATAGCCAAGTTTATTTTATTGATTTGCTTGTATGTCATTATTGTATCAAGTGTTCTTTTGCAGATCAGTTGCAAAAGAATGCACTT